AAACGACAATTGCGTGGTGCTAATAGAGCAAATATTGTCAAAGAAATATGTGCGTCATCGACATATGCATGGAGAAGAGAAAAGGCGAATGAAGTAATGTCTTTTGGAGATGTGGAGCCAGCACATTTATACAGCGAAAACGTTTTACGTAAAGCAAAACAGTTGGAGAAAGATCGAACGTTAGGATTATATAAGGTTACTGATCCTATTCTATCAATTGCTCAATTAAAATATAAACCTGAGTTTGTTGGATTTATAAGAGACATAGGTATGGATAAATTTTACGTAATGTATTGGAGTGATGAACAAATATTTTTATATAAAATATTTAATAAAAAACGCACTGGTGTCTTAAGCATAGATGCTACCGGATCTTTAATCAAACGTATTAATAGACCAGATGGGTCATCAAATGTTATATTTATATACCAAATGGTTGCTACTTTGAATGAAAAAACATTACCAGTGTGTCAAATGGTCTCCGAAAGACATGATACTAATATGTTGTCTTTTTGGTTACGTGAATGGTTGCGTACACCTGTTCCTTGTCCTTCAGAGATTGTTGTTGATTACTCTTTTGCATTAATAAATGCAATTAGTCTTGCATTTAATGAAGTAAATTTGAATTGTTACGTTGAACGATGCATGACATTTTTAGAAACTTTGGACAACATGCAAAAACCAAAATGCATAATACGTATTGATATCGCGCATCTAATGAAAATTGTATGTAAATGGAAGTGCTATGATGGAAAACATAAGCGTGTTAAAGATTTCTACGTACGCTGTTTTGGTCTTCTGACAAAATGCACATGTATCAATCAATTTCGTCAGATTTGTGGTGACATTTTAATTGTAAGCGCATCAGATACTGAAGAGGAAATTACGGACGAACAAATTAGATGCCTTACTGCACAACAACGATTAATCCAATTAATAAAAAACGATGAAATATATGATACTAATTATGATACTAATTATGATACTAATGATACTACTGATGATACAGACTTTATAAATGAAAATTTGATAGATGATTTAGATGATAAATACGATATGAAAATAACAAGTTTTTTGCAATCTATACAAATTGAAAGTAAACCAAGTGATACTGGCGAAAAACCGAATCCATACTGGTGTCCTCAATTTGGCACTAATTTATTAAAAATGGCTAAACATTTCCCTTTATGGACAGCAATAATGTCGACCAGCGTAGCATCTTCCGCTTGCAGCGAAGAATATTTTAAAGGTTTAAAAAAACTTGTTTTTAAAGATGCTAAGTGCATGCGTGTTGACAAATTTTTGATTACACATATCAGATCGCTTGCAGGCACGGTAAAAATTTTACAAGCTGGTAATTTGCATGCCGCACATAATAACTTAGATAATTCTGATGATAATATTAATCTAAATAAATCTAATGTTCAATCTTTTTGTAATACTAACAAGACTACACATAATAATGACATTTCCGATGACATAAATGATCTTACAGATAGCTCTAAAGATTTTAAAATTACCACTGATTGTGAGAACGATATTAGCGTATCTGATAATTCTATCGCGCCTATTGATATTAATCCTACTAATTCAGACAGTAATATAGAAGACACTAATGCTAACTTAAGTTTTAACTATCTTAATAAAATTGAAAATTGGAAAGGTAAAAATAATAGTCCAAAGAAGCGTGGCAAGTATTTAACTGCGTGTCCGGACATTGAGAATATTCATTTAAAACCAAAATTTACAACATCAGTACCTTTATTAAAAAATGGTAGCACTTTAGGACCGGTCCTTCTCGGAAAAGATCCCACTATGCTTACTAATACATGCTCTTTTGATGCAATAGCTCAGACGTTACTAGTCGGTTATTATGATTGGTCAAATTTCCATTGTTATGTAGAAGAAGCTCAAAGTGACATGTTCGCGTTTATTAAAAAATTGTCGACATGTGGACCTTCCATTAAAGTGTATAAAGAAAGAGCACTTATATTAAATAAGTTTATCACTCCCGCACATGGAACTATTAATTGCTGCTATAATATCTGTAATTTAGTTGCAAAACATTTATTAAAGGACGAATTCTCCTTAAGCAGAAATGTAACTTGTCATAATTGCCAATACGTACAAAATGACAACTTTAATATTCTAGATATTAATGTCAAGCCGTTTTATAAAGAAAATATGCGCGCTTTACAACATTCTATAAATGAAAAATATATTTACAAGAACAAAAAATGTATTCGTTGTGACGGAGAAAACATAGAATGTTCTATTATTTGTGGACACCTGCTTTATATTGATATTGAGTGTTTACAATCGACACATCTAGCAAAAAATTTAAATATATTAGATTGGGAAGGAACATTCACATTGAGCCACATACCCGTAGATCTCCTATTTCATGATTGCATGTACAAATTGCTTTCTGTTATAGAATATCAAGGCACATCAGATGTAGAAAGTATGGGGCATTATATTGCAAACATACGCAGACTGAAAGGAAGATGGGAAATTCATAATGATCTCTGCAGAAATAAAAAGCCGCTACTGGCATCGCAAAGAATAATGTCACAAAAAAAGAAATTATCTTTATTAATATATATTAAAATATAAAACACACTATTATTATATGTGCCTTACCATAATTATTTATTTTTTAAGTTCGTATGTCTTATCATACAAACTTTTTTAGTTTGTTTCATGTCTCATGAAACATTTTTTCATTCGTTTCAAGCGTTATAAAACAATAATAGTTTTTAAGTAAAAAAATTTAAAAATCTCAAAAAACCTAAAAAAAAAAATAAAAAATAGAAAAAAATAGAAAAAAATATATGTAAAATCTTAACATATTCTATAATTTACATTTTAATACATTATATATATATATATATATATATATATATGTATGTATATACACACACACATACACACACTTCACAATTTACGCGCTCGCGCGTAACACACGCGCATACACACATGCGCTCGCGCATTTTCAATTTATTATATCAAAATATTTATATTAATATTTCAGTTTTTGTTATTTAGCTTCGCAGAAATAACAAATAATAAAATAAAATTAAAATTTTTAATCCAAGAATATTCATTTTATGTTCAATTTTATTTTGAGTTTAATTTCACTTTAATATTAGTTTGAGTTCAGTTTGACAAAGTTATTCCTTATACTGTTTGTTCAGCATTCCATATTTTTACCCCCGTTGGGGTACAAACGAAATGGAAAGCGATACAAACGGGTACAAACGATTAGGAAGCAGCACCCGTTTGCAGAATTCGAATATCTTTAAAATTGACAAAGTTAGCACCCTTTCGCAAATATTAAATACCCCGTATTTCCACCCCCTTAGGGGTACAAACGAAATGGAAAGCGGTACAAACGGGTACAAACGATTAGGAAGCAGCACCCGTTTGCGGAATTCGAATATCTTTAAAATTGACAAAGTTACCCTTTTCGCGAATATTAAATACCCCGTATTTCCACCCTCTTAGGGGTACAAACGAAATGGAAAGCGGTACAAACGGGTACAAACGATTAGGAAGCAGCACCCGTTTTTCGAATATCTTTAAAATTGACAAAGTTACCCCTTTCGCGAATATTAAATACCCCGTATTTCCACCCCCTTAGGGGTACAAACGAAATGGAAAGCGGTACAAACGGGTACAAACGATTAGGAAGCAGCACCCGTTTACAGATTTCGAATATCTTTAAAAAAGTTACCCCTTTCGCGAATATTAAATACCCCGTATTTCCACCCCCTTAGGGGTACAAACGAAATGGAAAGCGGTACAAACGGGTACAAACGATTAGGAAGCAGCACCCGTTTACAGATTTCGAATATCTTTAAAAATAGCAAAGTTACCCCTTTCGCGAACATTAAATACCCCATATTTCCACCCCCTTAAGGGTACAAACGAAATGGAAAGCGGTACAGACGGGTACAAACGATTAGGAAGCAGCACCCGTTTACAGATTTCGAATATCTTTAAAATTGACAAAGTTACCCCTTTCGCGAATATTAAATACCCCGTATTTCCACCCCCTTAGGGGTACAAACGAAATGGAAAGCGGTACAAACGGGTACAAACGATTAGGAAGCAGCACCCGTTTACAGATTTCGAATATCTTTAAAAATAGCAAAGTTACCCCTTTTGCGAACATTAAATACCCCATATTTCCACCCCCTTAGGGGTACAAACGAAATGGAAAGCGGTACAAATGGGTACAAACGATACTGAATCGAACGGCACCACGAAAATTACGATATCTCAAAGTGGGGTGCTGGTGATTTTTCAACCCTTAATAACTTGCAACCCTTAGGGGTACAAACAAAATAAAAATCGGTACAAACGGGTACAAACGAAGTACAATCGAATGCGTACCTGAAATATCCATTTACTTTAAGTCGGGTGCCAGGTTCACATAGCTTGCCACTCGATGCGCCACAAACGGTCGCCAGCGCGACGCATGGGAACGCAGCCAACAAAGGACGACCCTAGCATCCGTCCAGGCGACGACAGGCACATCCTCCAAATCCAGGTCATGAGCCACCCGGTGCAGCAAGCGAGCCATTAGAACGGCTCCGCATAGTTCCAAGCGAGGCACACTTTGCTTCTTGACCGGAGCCACCTTGGCTCTGGCGGTCAGCAATGTCACCTCCACCCGGCCGTCTTGCTTGGTGACCCGGACATAGACGGCCGCCGCGTAGGCTCTCTCCGATGCATCGGCGAACCCGTGCAGCTCGACCTCGTCTTCTAGATCATGCTGCAGCCAGCGCGGGATTCTCAAAGCCGATAGTCCGGGCAGGGATGCACGGAAGACGCTCCAGGCTTCTGCCCGTTCAAGTGAGAGCGAATCATCCCAACCGCAGCCAGCCAGCCACAGATCCTGCATAAAGATCCTGGCATAAATCAGGACCGGCGCGACCCAGCCTAGCGGGTCGAACAATCGAGCCGCGTCGGATAGAACTGTCCGCTTCGTGCTGCTATAATGCCGCCACCCTGACCGATAGCGCATCCTCGTCGGGATGCCACACTATCCCGAGGGCGCTCACTGCGTCAAAGGCCGGCAGCAGCGCTTTTCCTGATGACGCCTGCGGGAGAAGGTCCCGTGCATTCGAGGCCCACTTGTCGAGCGCAAATCCTCCGGCCTGTAGCAACGCCACTAGCTGGCGTTGAATCTCCTGGGTCGCCGTCAGATCGTCTCCACCTGCCAAAATGTCGTCGACATAAGAGTGTCGCAAGAGTGCAGTCGCTCCCAGCGGAAAGCGTACAGCCTCGTCCCGAGCCAACTGCTGCAGCGTGCGTATGGCCAGGAAGGGCGCCGAAGTCGTCCCATAAGTCACGGTTCGGAGCTGGAACTCTCGGACACTCTCCGCAGGACCGGCACGCCAGAGAATCCTCTGCAGATCTACGTCAGCCTCGTTTACACGGATCTGCCGGAACATTTTAATTATGTCGGCCATAAATCCGACCTTGGGCCGTCTCCAACGAGTCAGGATGACCCATAAGTCGGTCTGTAATCGAGGACCTGCTAACAGACAGTCATTCAGCGAATAGCCAGAATTTGTTTTAAAAGATGCGTTAAAAACCACGCGTATCTTTCCCGCGGGACCTCCCGCTTTAAAGACGGCGTGGTGAAACAAGTAATAAGATGCCGACGGACAAGGAGCGTCAACAGGCACTGGATTCATATGATCCAGAGCGAGATACTCCACCATGAAGTCGGTGTATCGTTTCTGCAGCTCGGGCTTCTTCGCCAGACGCCGCTCCGAGCCGAGCAGCATGGACAGCGCAGCCGAGCGCGATTCGCCTAGCTGGTCGAGCCGATCCGGTCTGTTAGGCAACCGCACGACGTATCTGCCAGACGCGTCGCGAGAGTGCGTGTTCTTGAAGTGCTCTTCCGCTTGGTCCTCGTCCGGAGTCGGAAGACGCTGAACAGCGACCTCCTCCAGCTCCCACTGCCGCTTAAGAGTCGCCGACAGTTCATCAGTGGGTTGTGTCAGCAGCACAGTCACCGTATGCGCTGCGACCGAAGCATTCCCTTCCAAGTCCACCGCGCCCAACAGGACCCAGCCGAAAGCAGAGAGATGTGCCGAAAGAGAGTCCGGTGAACCTTGGCGACTGTCAGGTCGCATCACTCTTCTATAAACGTCGGCGCTGAGTACAACGTCCACCGCAGCCGGCGTCGCAAAGTCCGGATCGGCCAACGAAAGGTTGGCCAAGTGCGGCCATGGACGTGCAGCAACGCGCTTAGGGGGAAGTAGATCCGTCAGACGCCGGAGCACGAACGCTTCCGTCTCGAGGTGGAACGTTGCGTCCGTTCGAGATCTCAGAGTAAGATCCACAGCGATAGCGGCTTCCCCTGTTCTCGTGCCTTGCAGACCGTTCACCGCAACGCGAACACGACGGCGTGATGCGCGCAGTAGTTGGGCTGCGCTTTTTGTTATGAAGGAAGCCTCTGATCCAGTATCCAGCAGAGCTCGCACCGTCAGCTGCCGGCCAGACGGTCCCTCAAGCAGGATCTGAGCCGTGGCCAGCAGGACGGTTTTTCCGCTAGTAGCGACGGCCGAGCTTATCCTTGCACTCAAGGAGTTAGCGTCAGCTACCGGATCCTCCGTGGTTCTCGTCTGGTCCTTGGAGGCGCCTCCGGTTTGCCTGAAATTAAGTCCGTGCAAGGTAGTATGATGGGTCGCACCACATACCAAGCAGCGACCGCTGCCCGGACAAGAATCCGCTCGATGTCCAGGCTTGACGCAATTCAAGCACGCGCCCAGGTTTTTCACTTGTTCCGCGCGTTGTGTGACTGGCAACGCCTTGTATTTCGGGCAAAACGTTAACGTGTGCGTGCCTTGACAAAGCGTGCACGTTTTTGCCTTCGACTTCGGAGTCACGGCCGTGTTGCATGCGACGCGCGTGGGCTTAGCCGGGGATTTCGCACTCACTCCTGGACCTCCGCGCGGGAGGGGAGCGTCCACTCTTGCGGCCTCCAGAGCGCGCACTCGGTTCTCCAGGTACACCTGTAACTGCAGAAACGTCGGGAAATCACGCGAATGTAGAAGCGACGTCTCCCAGTGCATCCGCGTCGTGGCATCCAGCTTGCTAACAAGCAGGTGGACGAACCAGTCGTCCCATGACTCCACTGGGCGCCCTAGCGAGGCGAGCGCTCGCCGGGCCTGGTTAAGCACGCCCAACAGTCGCTTGATCTCGGTAGCCGACGATTTGACGGCGGCCGGGCAAGAGATCAAATGGCGCATGTGAACGCAGAGAAGAACGCGCTGATTATCGTAGCGCATTATTAAATCCTGCCATGCCCCGTCATAAGCACCGTCAGTCAACGGAACGCCGGCGACGACTTCCGCAGCTTCACCGGTCAGGCATCCCATTAAGTACTGGAGCTTTTGCACCTTAGGAACTCCCGTGACATCGTGAACGAGCGACCGAAATAAATTTCGAAATCCCTCCCACTCGAGTTGATCTCCGGAGAATTTCGGCAACTCGAGCTTCGGAAGTTGCATCTGCTTGAGCACGGGCGCGACGGCCGTGGAGCTCGGCCCTGACCGCGCTTCGGTTTCGATGTTTCCCGCCTTTTTTAATTGATCGCGTAAATCAAGTTTACTACGCATCCTGAAATACGCCTCTTCCGTTGTAGTGAAGCAGTCGTCCCTCATGTAGGCCGTCTTGTCAGCCTCAGGATCGGACACGATCTCGAAATGCGCATTCTGATACCGCGTCCAATAATCATCGAGGCGCGCTAGTCGGGTGGAGACCTCATTTTCCGTGATTTTGGCTTGCCCTATCTTTTGCAAGTTCACCCACATACGGATGATGTATCCCGCAACCAAAGTCTGTTGCTTGACCATGCGGTCCATCATAGCGTGGAGCACGGCAAGCTCAGCCTGGTATCAGCGACCGCGCGCGTGGTATCGCCCAAGTTACTCGTTGCGCCGCGATCAGGCGGTGCGACAACGCGATGCCGACGCTCGAGTGAGCGCTCCGCGCGCCTCGTATAGCACGGACGCAGCGTGTTCCCGCCGCGCGAATCACGATCACGGCGCGTGTAATCCACGCGTTCACTCACTGGCACTCCAACACTTAAAGAAAAAGGGGAGAGAACGCAGCGAAAAGAATGTTCCGCGTCCGGAAACGCGAGTCAAAATTGTTAATTTAATTGTTAAAAGGAGCTCCGGATCCGAGTAATCCGGCTCGACGGACCAAATGTTCGCGTAAGTCTCGGTTCGAAATGGCTTCGAGCTTGGAGAACGTCCGCGTGGTTGAAGGAGTATCTATAAGAGACACTAATTGTTCTAGTTTCACAAAACTTCACTTTATTTGCAACTTAACAAAAGATAAGCAAAAAAAAGCTGAACACCTTGCGCGGGAGCGCAACAAGATTTCGTTTCGTCTTGATTTATAGGAAATCTTAACACCTTTAAGGATCGAAACGTAATATAAGAGCGAGTCGCGTGTAATTACTTCGATCGTCCTCAAAACGAGAGTGAGTGCCGGTCAACGCGCGACACTCGCGATGCTCCCCTTCCCCGCCTCGCCCATCGCTCCCAGCTCCTCGATCCACCGAGCACGACGGGGAGATCAGGGAAGAAGGCAGAGGCGGACAAATAGAGACCGAAATAATATGACACGAATGCTTAAATTTAAATCCGTTCAATAACGGACAATGTGTATACTCTAAAAGTTTCGTAAATACTACGTAATTTTAATGACATAATTGTAACGTTATGTTAAATATGTAACATTAATATTATTTTGTTGATATCAATGTATATATTCTGTAAAAACCTTATTATAACTATTATATATAATTATAATAACGAAATTGCGATGTCACATTAAATAAAAAAAATATCGCAATTTTGTTATTATACTGTATGTAATGATTATAATAAAGTTTTTACAGAATGTATACATTGATGTCAACAAAATAATGTTACGTATTTAATATAACGTTGCAATTAGTTATTAGAATTATGTAGCATTTACGAAACTTTTAGGATATACACATTTACATTAACCAAAATACATAAATGTTACGTATTTAACATAACGTTACAATTATGTCATTAAAATTACGTAGTATTTACGAAACTTTTAGAGTATATACATTTACATTAACCAAAATACATAAACGTTACGTATTTAACATAACGTTACAATTATGTCATTAAAATTACGTAGTATTTACGAAACTTTTAGAGTATACACATTTACATTAACCATAATACATAAATACATATATAATAAAGTAACGCTTAAAAAAATTACATAACAATTTTATGTAACAATTATAGATTCATTACGTTATTGACATAAACGGTACGTCACAGTTATGCAATAATTGCTAATTTCTTCATTAACCGTTACGCGGTGTACGATTCTCTATCTATCTCGCATTCAAATTTCAGTCAGGAAAGTTTAAAGTTGATGAAATTGACGGTAACATCTGTGTTAATATAGAATTAAATTTTCTCATGTTGAGATCATGTCACAAAGAATAATGAGATTATCATAATGATAAGTATCAATTAATTATTAAATTTAATAAACATTTAAATTATATATTGATTGAAAAATAAATATTACATTTACTATCTCATTAACTAATTTTTCATATTTATCTAACTCATTTATTTTTTAATCAATATATAATTTAATTAATTATTAAATTTAATAAACATTTAAATTATATATTGATTAAAAAATAAATATTATATATATTTATATATATAAATAATTAATAATTAATAAATATTTTCTTAAATATTATAATAATTATTAATATATAATATATTTAAATATATTAATAATTAATACTCTATTTCTCTATATATAAATATTTTATTATTTTAATAAATAATTAATTATTAATTAAATAAATGATTTATAATAAATTTATAATAGTTATTAAATATATTTTAATTAATAAAATATTTATATATTTTATATAAATATTAACCTTATATTATTATATTATAACATTTTATTATAACATATTATACATTTATTATTTTATACCATACCTAGATATACCTAAATATACCATATTATCTAATTACTAAAATAATTTCTTTTTTAATTACAGTTTACAGAGGAAGACGCGCCGGAGTTCGCGTCCAGGAGGAGCGCTTTATGCGCTTCCTCCTTAAACTGTCCTCGCCCCATTATTATTGGGGCAACAGACCGAGGAGGGGCGGACGAGAAGGCGGACGAGGACGGGGACGGCGAAACGCCGAAAAGTATATGATAATATATGATATGATACATAAATAAATACATTATATACATAAATAAATATACATATATATACATTCTTCATTTTATTTAAATAAAAACCCTATAGATAAAACTTTATAACCCTAACATATTATGAATTGTTAAATAAATCGCAAAACATTATTCATACTATAATTATTTGGTGAATAACATTATTGATAATAATAAGAGAAATAATAGAAAATGGTATTGTGATTGTGATTGAAACAAACATTCTTTCTAAACAGAGTTCGATTATAGTATAAGTTTCTTGATTTAAAATGTGCTATATTTAAATCATTTAATTATTTTTTTCGTTCAAGTACATTTAACAGCAAAAACTGCATATACGTAGGTATGTATTTAACTCTACTGCCATTACTTGAAACAAATACATTATTCGATATTACTAAATTGGAACTCTGGAATTACGAGTAATTATTTTTCATTGTACAGACTAGGTTTAAATTTTTGAAGACCTTCTTTTGAACATGGCTTGACCTTTTCATTTTTATGATTTTTTGGAGATAGGGTAAGAGAGGACGAATGAGGGTAAGAGAAGACGAGATAGGCGAAAGAGGGTGAAAGAGGACGAAATTGGGTGAAAGAGGGCGAAAGAGGACAAAAGAGAACGAAAGAGGGTGAAAGAGGACGAAAGAGGGTGAAAGAGAATGAGAGAGAATGAAAGAGAGTGAAAGAGGACGAAAGATGGTGAGAGAGGGCGAAAGAGGGTGAGAAAGAATAAAAGAGGGTTAGAGAGGACGAAAGAGAGTGAAAGAGGACGAAAGAGGGTGAGAGGGAATGAAAGAGGGTGAAAGAAGACGAAACAGGGTGAAAGAGGGTGAGAGGGAATGAAAGAGGGTGAGAGAGAATGAAAGAGGGTAAAAGAAAACGAAAGAGGGTGAAAGAGGGCAAAAGAGGGTGAAAGAGAACGAAAGAGGGTGAAAGAGGACGAAAGAGGGTGAGGTAGGACGAAAGAGGGTGAAAGAGGACAAAAGAGGGTGAAAGAGGACGAAAGAGGGTAAAAGAGGACGAAAAAGGGTGAAAGAGGGTGAGAGAGGACGAAAGAGGGTGAGAGAGGACGAAAGAGGGGTGGGTGGGGGTTGGAGTGGGGGTGGGGGTGGGGGCGGGGGGCGGGATGTGGGAGGGAAAGGGGTGGGTGGAAGTTGAGGGAGGTGTGAGTGAAAGGTGAAAAGAGATTTATATATATATATAATCCTGATGACGTCAGCGGACGCGGACAGAGAAGAAGAAGAAGAAGAAGAAGAAGAAGAAGACGACGTTACTTCATTTTTTATGAAAAACGTCACTTTTTGACCGCTTGTATCTCCAGAACGGCTTGACCGATTTTATTTTTTCTTGGCTCAAATTACTCGTGGCGATGCCGCCTTTCAGGTTATATTACGTGCAATTCAAAATTTTTTATATTTTAGTAGTTCTACACCCCCAAAAAATGGACTTTGATGGTGCAGGATAAGGAGACTTGTAGTGTCTTTTAAGGTCTTTTAGGGTTTGAACATGGCCGGAGACACTACCGTGTCTCCTAATACAACGTACGGCGCAACTGCGGTATGAGATTCGTCCGCTTCTACGTGTGCGACCACGGACTAGATAAAAGTAACGCGAGACAAAAAATAGAACGTCAATTGGACGTCGATCATGCCGACGTGGACGTTATACAACTCCATAGAGCCGACACTCTCCGCATCGAAGATGAGAGTGTGATCCTCGTCAAATTGACCAACAGGGGAGAGGGCACGCTCGGCGATGTGTTTAGAAATGCGATAACAATCGGACGATTGAACCGTTACCGCACCGGTTTTACAGCGGATTACGGGTACTTTGATTACCACGCTTCCCCGACAACGGAAGATAACGTGGTTACGTACTGCCAGGTGTACTCCTCCGCCGCCAAAATGGCTCGTCCGCAGGACTTTGGTGAAACCGCGGTTCATCTGATTTGTCACGCGTACGAAGACGGTGCGAGAAGGTTTAAAAGTTGAAGAAACGAAACGCGACAAAACTCTCGATCTGGTGTCCTACGTGTGGAACCACGTTCGCACAGGACACAGACTCCGGATCGAGGAGGTATTGACATTCGATAATAAACGCCTAGCAACACCAATGTCGGCAAATTTTACGCGACTTGGCGTTTTCGACGACGCAACTAGATGTATCGTCACGAATCTTCTTACGCTCCATCGCACTCTGTACAAGGTAGATGCCGAAAGATGGCAAAGTCATATAGACGGGACAATAGCGGACGATCTCCTCCTCCTTTTAGGTTTGGCGCGCGACAACTACGACACCTCCAACGACGACGGATGGGCGACGTCGTCGTTGATACGCCGTTTCATACGAGCGCAATTTCGCACGTATTACTTTGCACACGGCATATCGTATAAATACAATTACGCGACGAAAAGTAACATGTTCGCCAACGAACTGGAACAATCGTCGGCCGATCGCGGGATTATAAAGGTGAGACCGCATTTCGACGATACGGACTCGTTTCCGTACCCTATATACGCCAAATCGATACCCTCGCATTATTTAGTCCCGATACGGCACGTATGGTCCTGCATAATGGGCATCGAGCAGG